TCGCGTGGATCCGTTGTCTATGAAGGCTCCACATTTGCGGCCTCCTACATCCACTTCCACCACGAAATGTTCCCCTCTAGGACCCTTTTTTAGCGTCACCCAAGACTCGCGAGGGTCCTTGTTTGACCACTTGCCTTCTAAGTCTTCTAAGGCCTCAGACACATCTAACGTACAGAGCATAGTTTGGTCTATTTGTGTCTGCGGGGTGACTAAGGAGTCATTAGCTTCGGCCTTGTCATGAAGTGAGGAGGGTATCAATCCCACTTCATCTTGAGTAGAAGCCGCTACTACTTCCACTGGCCCTACGCGTTTCTCGAGCTAGAAGCCTGGGAATAGGTTGTCCCTACTCTTGGAGCAACCTTTTGCGTAACCTTAGCTTTCTGACACTTCCACTGCGTGTGTCCGTATTCTCCGCAGTTGATGCAAGCGCCACGCATTCGGTGATCACGCCACACGTCTTGATCAAGACCTGCCTTTACCCACTCAGACTGTTTGGTCTGATTGGAGGCGGCCTTCCCTTGACTCCTAGGTTGGCCCTTCCCTCGGCCACCTGCCTTAGTCTTTACTACCGCGGCAAGGGTGCTACCCTCAGCTACCTCCTCGCCGTCATACTCTGAGTAGTCCATCAGGTCAGAGAGCTCATCAATCCTAGTTTGAGTCCCATCAGACTCAACCATCATCAACTTTGCCCCCTTCCTTCTTCTTCTTTGAGTCATTTCCCGAGGTGGGTTGAGCATTGCCTAGTGTGGCCTCTAAGTCTAAGGCTTTCCTAGACAATGTCTCAAATGAGTGGTACTCAGTGCGTGCCTCACTGGCTAGTAAGTTCCTCATGTTCTCAGGTAGACATCTAACAAACGTGGTTAAGAGGAACTGGTCACTGTAGTTGATGCTTGGGACGAGGATCAGGCTCTCGACGGTAGTCGTAAGCTCCCTAACTGACCTGAATTTGCGTTGGTCCAGTTTATTAATGGCATTAGTGGCCCTTTGAGCCTCCTGTGGGTTATGCCATCGAGCTTCTACCATCTCCATGAATTGGTCTAAAATCAAAGACTTAGCCCAATCCGCCATGCGTCGCCCGTACCCGGCCTTCACAACTACTCCATCTAACCATTTGGCTGCCTTACCCTCTAGGTAAGACGCCGCAATTACCACTTCATCCTCAGGCAAGGTCCTTTGGGCCTTCACCCAAACCGGGACTGTCCTCAACCATGTGTTGAGTTCTTCGTCCTTTCTCTCGCCTGAGAAGGCAAGAGGCGGTTTCATTGGGGTCTTGGGATACCATTGACCTTGCGGTTGTCGAGTTGGCTGAACAGGTTGTTGTGGTGATGCAGCAATCACCACTGGACCCGAAGAATAAGATGCAACAGTTTGTGCTGCTGCTGTAGATGTGCCACTTGGCTGTGTGCCAGCTTGTACGGCAAAGGGGCATCGCCGTTAATGGCAACGACGATTGAGCTGGTGGCCGGAATCCTGGCTTTGTCAATGCATCCAGGATCTGGTCCAAAGTGCTTTGCATGAAGTCCATCCTGTTGTCTACGTGCGCATGCAGTGACAACATGTTGTCCCTCAACACTTTCAGGGTGTCAGACAAACTCGATTCGTCCAATCCCTCTAACGCAGCCTTGTCAGCCTCTAACGTATCAAGTATGGCTGCTCTACTTTTTCTCTCTTTTTCTCTATGGGTTGCTTTCTTCAGAACCTCCTCTAACTGATGGTGGAGCCTTTCGACCTGCTGGATCTCTCTGAGCTCCCTCTCACGTGGAGTCAACGGGCTGAACTGTGAGCCCGCCGTTTGATTAGAAGATTGTCTAGACCCTGTTGAACCGGAAGTGCCCAAGGAACTCGTGGAACTCAGTGGCATTCCCAACTGAGGCCCACTAGTCCCTGACGAGGACGCAGACGATGACGCAACAGAGCTCGTACCATTAGCCATTGCCGCTGCTCTGGCTGCTGTTGCCCGCTCTCTTGCTACTCTGTTTGCTTCCTGTAGTCCTGCTGCTAGAGCACGGGCTCTACGTTCGGCACGAAGCCGTCTTTCTTCTCCCTCGTCCAAGGTCCTGAACACGTGCGGAACCCTTAATGCTTCCAAACGTGTAAGTCTCCTATTGTCAACTCTATCATCAGCAGGATCTGATCCACTCATTAGTTAGGCAAGTAGTTTCTACACTAGAATCTCCTAGTGGAATCCTACCACAGCATGTATCTGACCGGCACCTAATTTTCTAACAATAGTTGTGTCCGGCGAGTATCCTACTATACCGAATCAAGTGGCATGTCTACAACATTCACACAGATTGTCTACATAGTCTAGATGCACCCTGAATGGTTCACTTACAACAACATTAGTTAGAACTGGCTATGGTAGCATACTACAGTCCTACACTAATTCTGTCTGTGAGGTCAGCAGTCCGTCAACCAACTAATCAAAGGTACAAAAAGACAATGTAGCAGATGGATGATCGATGGGTATGGTTGTGTATAGAGTTGAGCACCAATTAGAACCTCCCCTCCCCTCCATCCAACATACCGAATAGCATCTTTGAGCGAGCAGTGTCTTCGTGTGTGAATCGGCCCACCCCTGTGCCCAAGTTGTCACCGAGCAAGCCAGCCCAACCACTCTTATTTACCCTCGTACGGCGACGAGCCTTCCTGTCCATGTGATCTGGCTGATCAGGAGGGATTTATAGAGCGCCCCCATCTCTTCAGGAATTATTTAACGTCGCAATCAGGACGACGATCACAGTCAGATTCACAATGAACTCCCAACCAGAAATATTTATAGACGATCTGGTGAGCGTCTGTCATGGGCTGGCACACCCGGAGGAACTTCTATCAGCGCAGCAAGTGCCAAACAGGACAGCAGCCATTGCATGCGTGCACTACTCCCTGTGGGTTGGCATGGTGACCGTGACCCAAGTGCTTCGACCAGGGCCCTTCAGAGGCACCGCCGTTTCTCCTTCCAGTATGCTTCCGGGAAGAAAGTCATCTCTGAAGGTAGCGCGCTCACGACACCTCACCAAAAGAGAGGACTCTCAAGTTGGACTCACTTCCTCACGGTAAGAAGAGATTGAGAGAGTAGATAAGGTAAGGGAACAACGTACCTGGAGATAGCTGCCCCCAACCACAGATTTCTCACCAATTGAGCTGATGTTGCATTTGATGACGGGTCATGACCTCAATACCACCCACAACGCAATGTAGTGCCACCTTAGTCCAATGCCACATCAGCATGCTCTCATCACCAATCAAACATTCCGCTGTATCCCACGGCTAATAATGCCGTCAATAGCCTTCCGTTGCACCCCTCTCTACCCARGGCGTGCACCTAGTGTAGCCTGACGTCACAAGTACCCACTGCGAAGAAGCATCATCAACGCACCAAGTCTGTATAACGCCAGCGTGCCAAAGGTAAGTGGCGATCAAACCAGCTCCGATACCAAATTGCAAGGAACATGAGTATGGACGAAGCACAGAAATCCAGAATGCAAAATCACACTGAACTCCAAGTATTCAAAGCCAAAGCAGATAGCACATGGAACCGAGTAACCATCCCATTGAGAATGMTACAGAAGAATCGTGAGTCAATGTCCATGCCCAMCAGGGCAACACCAACARCATAACCCAAATGTAGCTCTCTCTTGTGAATGGCGYCAGGCGCCCTATCTACTCTACAGCCTATCCTACAACTACAKCAATGAACAGCAACCAGACAACTTGACTACCAGCGAGTGATGATGTCAACACCAATGCAGAYCTCCACCATCACCAGGTACGTGTCCTCTTCCCCACACTCTCCCTTGTTACCCACACAGCGCCCTTCACCTCCGAAGTACCACCTTCGCCCTCACCTCCCCTGCACCCTCATGTTCCCGGCTATGGCCGCCAGTGCCCTGCACGCAGGCAGCGCCCTACCGCCTAGCGCTGGTCTGCCCTGTCTTAGCGCAGCGCTGCTCTGCATAGCGCTGCACACTTGCATCTGCGCAGCGTGCCCGCATATGCCAGCATTGGCCAAGATCCCTGCTCCTCGCCCTGCTTGCCTATATGCCAATGCAGCGTGTGGGCGGCCTCCCTTCAGCCTGCGACCGGGACCCAGAGGCTGAAGCCTTCCCGATACAGTTGGGCCCTGGAGCAATGCAGTTGCGCCTCTCTTCTCAAGGCCTGCGGCCAGATTCAGATAGTGGACCGATTTTCCCTTTGGCATTTCGGCCTCTCTACCCAGCATGCATTGTCGGCCTCACGTTCGAGTGCCCAGGGCCTAACTAACTCAGAGGCCCTGGGCACTTCAGCATTTGCTGAAATCCGAGACTCGGTGCACTCCAACCAACTGGCGTGCTGCAACTGTATAGACCCCACTTCGTGAAATGTTGGCCGAGAGGGCTCTTGTTGATTTGCTGGCCCGCCTTCACTTAGGGGCGGGCACTAGGCTTGCTGGGGCCTTAGCCCAGAACATGTACATCATGGCAAGGCCCCTACTTGAGGGCTCAATCCTCACACAAGCATCTTACTCGACTTAATACTATTGGGAATGGTGGAAGAAGTTTGCCTTCTCTAACCACCGTAACCACCGTAACCACACTATTTTAATAATCACAAACCCTTTTTTTTGTTTTTTTTTAGAGAGAGAGAGAGAGAGAGAGAGAGAGAGAGAGAGAGAGAGAGAGAGAGAGAGAGAGAGAGCAGTGGGGAGGGGGCAAACTGTATCAGCCTTCGGCCTTCAGTCCGGGACCTGCCCCCTCGTACCCACAACCCCCTACCCCTATACTTTTGTTCTTGCTAGCAGAGCCACAACAGGTTATCTAATACGTATTATGTCTACACTTTGCCTCATTGCTCTTTCTCCCTGTTGCCAAAAAGGATTATGGGCAGAAGGATATGCTAGTTATGATAACAATGGGGCACTCATTGGGAGACTCGTTGCTTGCTATATCTGTGAAAGTCTGTTTTGCATTCACAAGGGAAGGGATAAAGTTCACAAGTACCAGCTACATGAACTATCAGCAATGACAACCTTCTGAGAGACTTCATAGATAGTTCCTCCTCATCCACCGCCTTCATTTTTCCTGCATAACATTGCCGCAGTTTTGACAGACTTCCATGCATGCTGAAACACGCTCACTTCCACACACAATGTACGAGGGCATGGGCATGAATTACGCTTGCCCTCCCGGATCTTTCGCAGCACCCGTGGTGCTAGAAGGTGACGGAATTCGACTTAAAACCACCACTACCTCCGAAACCTCATTTTGCCGATCCTGAATTTCAATGGGCGCCCATGGCTTGCGAAAGCGCCAGCGCAGCGTTTTTTTCTTTTGGCTTGCGCCGCCAGACTTTGTGGTCCGGTAGCGCCCAGCCTCCGCCAGCCTCCAAAGAATGTGGAGAAGGCTACTTTTGAGATGAGACTTAAACCACCAGTACTTGGCCCAGCTATATCTACGCCGAGCTTGAATATGCCCTGCGTGACATTTCGCGCCGACCTGCCAGCGAAACAAAAAGAAATTGTTTTGGCTGGCGGTGTCAGCCTTTCAGGTCCGGTACCCCGGGCCTCCGAAACTTGCGGGGGGCGTTAACGACAACGCCCCGCGGCCAACATATGGGCCAAGTACTGGTGGTTTAAAAGTTGCCTGAAAGGTAGTGGTGGTTTAAGCTAGCACTTCTCAACAACACAAAACTGGATGACAGGACAGGGCCTCAGTTTCCGGGAACGACTTCAACTTAGCATCTCCTCAAGGACTTAGTTCCCTGGTCAGGGGAAAGGGCTGGTCAAACTCTCGGTCAAACTTCATCATGCAAAGGGCAGGTCAAACTCTCGGTCAAACTTTATCATCATGGGAAAGTGCTGGTCAAACTCTCGGTCAAACTTTATCATCATGGGAAAGCGCTGGTCAAACTCGGTCAAACTTCATCATCATGGGAAAGCGCTGGTCAAACTTCATCATGGAAAAGTGCTGGTCAAACTCCTGGTCAAACTTTATCATCATGGGAAACGCTGGTCAAACTCTCGGTCAAACTTCATCATCATGGGAAAGCGCTGGTCAAACTTCATCATGGGAAAGTGCTGGTCAAAGTCTCGGTCCAACTTCATAGACCCAGGAACCAGTTGTAATCTCAGTCAAAATCTCGGTCAAACCTTTTCCAGAATGGGACAGAAAGACTTCTTGGTGGAATTAGATTATATATATAGATAATACATTCTCAATAATAGATATAAAATAAACACACATAAAATAGAATACTACATCGACATCTTGATTCAACGTCCCCGGGAAACCGATCTCCCTCGTCGCATCCACCAATTACTGTGTACATTTGTGTGCCATTCAGGTATTTTCTATCGAGGAGGATGGTGGCTGAATCTGTATGCACGTGCACAGCAATCAATGGCATGATGAGCAGGTACAAGCAGATCCAGATTCCACAGGTGATTTAAGCGAAAGGCTGGAAGCTTTCGGCCTTGTTTGGGGTGGGGGG